GTCCCTCCTCTAGTCCCCTCTAACAGACCGCAGTGTGTGATGCTTCCCTCCCTGTGTCCATGTGTTCTCATCATCCAACACCTGCCTATGAGTGAGAACATGGTGTTTGATTTTCTGTTCTTGTGTCAGTTTGCTGAGATTGATGGTTTCCAGATTCATCCACATCCCTACAAAGGACACAAACTTATCATTTTTTATGGCTGCATAGTATTCCATGGTGTATATGTGCCACATTTTCCTAGTCCAGTCTATCATTGATGGACATTTGGGTTGGTTCCAGGTCTTTGCTATTGTAAACAGTGCCACAGTGAACATACATGTGCATGTGTCTTTATAATAGAACAATTTATAATCTTTTAGATATATGCCCAGTAATGGGATTAGTGGGTCAAATGGAAATTCTATTTCTAGGTCCTTAAGGATCGCCACACTGTCTTCCATAATGGTTGAATTAGTGTACACTCCCATGAACAGTGTAAAAGTGTTCCCGTTTCTCCATATCCTTTCCAGCATCTATTATCTCCAGATTTTTTAATGATCGCCATTCTAACTGGCGTGAGATGGTATCTCAATGTGGTTTTGATTTGCATCTCTCTAATGACCAGTGATGATGAGCATTTCTTCATATGTTTGTTGGCCTCATGTATGTCTTCTTTTGAAAAGTGTCTGTTCATGTCCTTTACCCACTTTTGAATGGGGTTGTTTTTTTTCTTGTAAATCTGTTTTAGTTCCTTGTAGATTCTGGATATTAGCCCTTTGTCAGATGGGTAGATTGCAAAAATTTTTTCCCCTTCTGTTGGTTGCCAGTTCACTCTAATGATTGTTTCTTTTGCTGTACAGAAGCTCTGGAGTTTAACTAGATCCCATTTTTCTATTTTGGCTTTTGTTGCCAATGCTTTTGGTGCTTTAGTCATGAAGTCCTTGCCTTTGCCTATGTCCTGAACCTAGACAACCGTGTCTAGGTTTTCTTCTAGTGTTTTTATGGTGTTAGGTCTTATGTTTAAGTGTTTAAGCCATCTGGAGTTAATTTTAGTGTAAAGTGTCAGGAAGGGGTCCAGTTTCTGCTTTCTGCACATGGCTAGCCAGTTTTTCCAACACCATTTATTAAACAGAGGAATCCTTTCCCCATTGCTTGTTTTTGTTCGGTTTGTCAAAAATCAGTTGGTTGTAGATGTGTGGTGTTGCCTCCAAGGCCTCTGTTCTGTTCCACTGCTGTATATCTCTGTTTTAGTACCAGTATCATGCTGTTTTGATTACTGTATCCTTGTAGTATAGTTTGAAGTCAGGTAGCATGATACCTCCAGCTTTGTTCTTTTTGCTTAGGATTGTCTTGGCTATGCAGGCTCTCTTTTCGTTCCATATGAAGTTTAAGGTGTTTTTTTCCAGTTCTGTGAAGAGGGTCATAGGTAGCTTGATTGAATAGCATTGAATCTATAAATTACTTTGGGCAGTATGTCCATTTTCACAATATTGATTCTGCCTAACCATGAGCATGGAATGTTTCTGCATCTGTCTGTGTCCTCTCTTATTTCCTTGAGCAGTGGTTTGTAGTTCTTCTTTTACCTTTACCTCCTTTGTTAGTTGTATTCCTAGGTATTTTATTCTCTTTGTAGCAATTGTGAATGGCAGTTCGTTGTTGATTTGGCTCTCTTTAAGTCTGTGATTGTTGTATAGAACGCTTGTGGTTTCTGCACATTGATTTTGTATCCGGAGACTTTGGTGAAGTTGCTTATCAGTTTCAGGAGATTTTGGGCTGAGACAATGGGATCTTCTAAATATACGATTATGTCATCTGCAAATAGAGACAATTTGACTTCCTCTTTTCCTAGTATAATTCATGATTCTATTACTAAAGAAAGAATGGCTGTGGGGAGCAGCAGTTAACATCTCTGCTACAAATTCTAAAGAACTGTACCAAACTATACTAAATCCACTTAATAATGATATTTCTCTTTTTGAGATATATAGGGGTCATAATTGCTGCTCTGCTAACTGAGCCCAGACTGATGTTCTTTTTTGAATTATTCGATGCGTGTTTTATGGATGTTCTGTTTTCTTTTTGTTAGGATATTAGCTGTCATTGCTCACAGCTGACAGCTTCTTCACCGCCCCTTTCTGATTTACCACTTTCTTTCTTCTGGGCTTGGGAAGCAGGTAATAATAGGCTTCTTAATAATGCTATAATGTATTCTGTGCCTTATGTGTGCTATACAGTGTTAGGGACTTTGACATCTTATCTCTGACTTCGGAACTCTTTTTTTTTTCAGCATTATTGAGATACGATTGACAAATAAAAATTGTGTATATTCAAGGTGTACAATGTGATGTTCTGATATACGTATATATTGTGTAAGGATTACCAGAATCAAGCTAATCAATGTATAAATCACTTTTCATAATTATCTTATTTTTTGTGATAAGAACAAAGATCTACTATTTTAATAAATTTTAAGTGTGCGTTATTCACCGTAATCACCATGCTTGGGTCTCCAGAATGTATTCGTATTATAACCGTAAGTGTGTATTATTTGAGCAACATTTCCTCATTTTCCTCATCCCTGACCCCTGGTAAGCACTCTGCCATTCTCTGTTCCTATGAATTTGACTTTTGAAAAATATTTCAAATACGAGTGGGATCCTGTAGTGTTTGTCTTTTAGTGTCTGGCTTATTTCATTTAGCATGACAGTCTCTAGGTTCATCCATGTTGTTGTAAATGGCTGGATTTCTTTCTTTTTTTCTAACATGTGAGGTGATATCTCATTGTGGTTCTGATTTTTTGTTACCAAGTTGTGTTATATTCTTGTATATTTTAGAGACTAATTGCTTATCAGATATATGGTTGGCAAATCTTTTCTCCTATTATGTGTTTTTTTGTTGATTGTTTCCTTTGCTGTGCAGAAAATTTTTAGTTTTATCTAGCGCCCCCCCCCCCCCGCTTTTTTGTTTCATTGCTTTTGCTTTTGGTGTCCTATCAAAAAATCGTTGCCAAGACCAGTGTCATGAAGTTTTTCGTCATATGTTTACCTTTGGGAGTTTTATAACTTCAGATCTTAGGTTTTAATCTGTAATCTACCTTGAGTGAATTTTTGTTGTATAGTGTAAGGTAAGAATCCAATTATTTTTGCATGTGGAGATCCAGTTTTCCCGCACCACTTATTGAAGAGACTGTTCTTTCACCATTGTGTATTCTTGGCGCCTTTGCTGAAGATTAGCTGATAACTTTGGAGCTCTTATACAAATATACTCATTTTACAAATGAGAAGGCTGAAGCTACAGGAGTATCAGTAACTTGTTTATAAAAATGACAATTGTTAGAACCATAATTAAAATAGGAATTGATGCCCTTAGTGAGACCTGAGAATCCTACCTTTGAAAACTTGCATGATTTTTATTACAAAGACCTTGCAGCATTTTTTTCAGTGACTTAGAGGCATTTTTATACTTACTCATTTTTGCTAGTTTCAGCCAGGTGGGACTGCCAAATAGCGAGATGAGATTCTTTTTGTCTGATTGCGTCTCTGTGAATACAGATGTACAGCATGCATACACATACTGCATGCATATAAACTCACATCTCTTTTGGAAGCTTTTAATAGCATAGTGGATAAAGATAATATTTAAAAACCAAGCTTAAAAAAGTAACTGTAAAGCCTACCATGTGTTATCCATGAATCTGAGTATTGAGAGAATACTTTTCAAGCAGCATTAATATACAATTTTTATCTCTCTAAAGATTCCCGAATGGTTCAAACGTATGTTTAGTGAACATTCATTTGCAGACAGTTCTCATCCCAGAACATCTTTCAGGCAATTTAAGGCCGATATACCTGTGGTATCAGTTGAGATGCGTTACAGTGTAATGCAGGAATAGGCACTCCAGAACTCAGTTTGTTTTCTATCTCTCTTTTTTTCTCCTTTGTTGCTATGTGCTCTATTTTAAAGTTGCTTAGCTGTGTGATTGTCCTTAGATACAACAATAAAAGTATCGTCTATTTCTATGAAATTTGATTTCTTTTTGAGCACTCCTTAAAACTTAAGTATACTGTTAAGATTGTCACTGATATTCAAAGTAATATAGAATAGTTACTACAGTACTTACTGTATATGGTGTATGAGCTATAGATGACAAAGTGTAAGACTGGCCTTTTATTTATTCCCTTAATGAGTAGCTTAATTTTCCTCTAACATAATTTTTCCCTACATAATACATTATAGGATACATGAATCACACTAATGGGACATGACAGGTTATAACCACTAGACCTTTCTCAGATGAGGGATACTAAACTGTATCATAGAAATCATCATCATTACCATCATCTCAGTAGATTTTAAGAACTGTGAATATTGTATTTAATATTGATGGACTAACGGTAGAAGATATCTCAAGATTAGTCTATAGTTGAGGACAACCAGGGATTAATATTTTTCACTATTAGTATTTTTCACACCCAGTGCTGCTTAGCAGTATGATGTATGTAAAATTGGTGCTAAGACATACCTATGGATTTAGTCTGCTGTGTTTGACGGGTATCTAAGTCATTTGAAATTATGAAACTGACAGACTCTGAAGAAGATAGTTTCATGAATAACAGTTTTTGTTGTATTTCTGAATTTGGAAATAATGGAGTCATTATTTAATCATTTTAATTATTTAATTTAATAATTATTATTTAATAATAATTTAATGATAAAGAGTCATAATAGTTCTCAGGGATTACCTTGAGCTAAGAGATTTTAACGTGCAGTAAATACAAATGAATGTACCTAGAATTGAAGTCATATCCTGAAAAGTTTAAAAATTGGGAAATGAATGTATATTGATGTCAATAACTTGATAGCTTTACTGGTTTGTAGTTTAAAATTTAAACTACCAGTTTTGCCCCTTGGAGAAAAAATTAACTATGACATACATGTATAGATAGTAATTAATAAAATTGTTTTATTATTCACATTTATGAAAGAATAGGTCATCTAATTTCCTCCAATTCTTCTTTAGGTCGAGATTTAATTTGTATCCAGTCTATAGATGGGATGCTGATGGTGTTTGAGCAGGAGAGCTATGCTTTTGGAAGGTTTCTCCCCAGCTTTCTTCTGCCCGGCCCTCTTGCCTACAGTTCCCGTACAGATTCCTTCATTACGGTCTCTTCCTGCCGACAAGTGGAAAGTTACAAGTAAGTTTGGATGCTAAGTCTTTGGATTCATGATTTTTTGGTGGGTTTGTTAAGTAAGTTTTGGATTCATGATTTTTTGGTGGGTTTGTTGCTGATTAATTTTTGTCCACAAAGAGCTTCAATGTCACAAATGAAAAAGAGATTGGTTTCTTTGACAAAGTATGAATGGCTACTTAACCTGTATCGTCTACTGTTGTAAAGTATCTGAAAGGCAATATAGTGCAGGATTCCAATCAGGAATTTTACCACCACCAGCTGTTTGATGGTCACTGTCCTTATCCTGGCTTTAAAGGAGGTAATAGTGCTCATTTTGACAAGTTTGTTTATAAGGATTTAATGTATGTCAAGTTACTACCCTGTAGAAAATGTTTAATAATTGTTGTGACTGCTCCTTGATATAATAAATAATTAAACAATGTTGAGTGAAAAAAGCCAAATTGAAAATTTATCCGTGGAATGCTTTTATAACAAAAAGGAATGTGTGTGCCATGGAAAAAATACTGGCATGAACTGTTAATATGAATGTTAATACTTTTCTAAAAGAACAATTCAAGTATAAGAGAAGTATGAAAATAATCCTAGGCAAATAACATACTTACTTGCTAGAAATTCTTACTGGTTTTGGTAAATTGCATATGAGAGAGATTGTTTTCTTCTCCACCAGCTAGATTTCAATAAAAGTCAAGGTTTTGAGTTTTTGGAGAGGATGTTTTTTATTGGCAGAGAGAATGGGGAAGAGAAAGTAGAAATCCATGCTGGGAAGGGAAATAGCACTGGAGGCTTCACTGTCCTTAGCGACTTCGTTGTGTTATCTTACTGATGGCAACATTTAGAACTTTAAATATCTAAGCAACACACCATCATAACTTTTCAACATTATTTTTGGCCACATTATTTTTCCCAAGGTGGGAAGAAGATATAAATTCATTTGGCAACAGATGTAAATTGTCTTCAAGCTTCAATGTTGTGTATATAGCAAGTTAACTGCATTTTCTCTTCATAAGTAGTCATTTGCTTTTTGTAAATGACTGTTAAGTCCTCTAGGGTTAAAACTCTGAAGATAAGTGAATGTTTGTGAGGAAGCAGAATTTAACTGATTTAGGAAGTGTATCATCATGTCATATTTCTTCTATAATTCTTGTGGCTCTTGTCTAAAGGAGATGATTGAGTGGTGGCATAGCTACTGGGAATAAATAAAATCTTATATTTATTTTGAGAGGTTGGGAAAAATATCTGTATAGTTTACTCAACCCTCCCAAACTTGAGCAATATTAGGAGATCTGTTTTTTAGCTTTCCACCCAGTTCTGTGCCTCACCTCCTGCTAAGTAGTACTATGCTAGGGTCACAGTACGAATATTTAAACACCCAGTTACTTACTCTTTGAAATATGTGCATAGGAATTAATTTGATAATAACTCTAGGAGTGATTAAAGAAGTAATGTTAGGTTTCCTTAATGTGTGAGGTTAATCTTACAGAAGCTTACGTTGTTTTAACTGTGGTAATTCCCCAACATACCAGTCTATTAAATTTATCTTTCTCTTAGACTAAAAAATGTACATGTTATCCATTATGTGGATCATTTATAATGGTACAAATGCATGAGAGATGAGATCATTGTGAAATGATGACAATCAAGAAGGTTTATAGCATGAAGTAGTATGTTGTACTTATATATGCTTTCAACTTTAATAGATCATATTTAATGATAATAACTACTGCATTTTTGGATGGGTGAAAGCATGAAAACCATAAGTTTGTTCTTCTGAGGCTTTATTAAATCTGTCTATATTCAGGTAATAGAATAGAATTGGTTAATAGAATAGGCTTTTAACACATAACTTATTTTCATTTTTGATATTGATACTTAATGTCTTTAAACCCTGCTTAATTATGTTCAAATAAAAACCAGTTGAAGGCTAGGGGTCTCAAAATTAACTTTGTGGAGAAGTCACCTGGGCACCCTGTTATAAAATGCACATTTACAGATGCTAGTCCCCAGTCCCCTAGATTTCTTTTAATAGGCTTGAGGATAAGAGCCAGAAATCCTCATTGTGAATTCTCACTCCAGATGAATCTAATTCAGGGGCACACTTTGAGCATAGTTTTTCTTTTGAAGCAAGAGAATTATTTGCCCTTAATTTTTTAAAAAACTATGGACATGGGGGTCTCACTATGTTGCCCATACTGGCCTTGAACTCTTGGGCTTAAGTGATCCTCCTGCCTTGGTGTTCCAAAGTGCTGGAATTATTGGCATGAGCCGCCACTCTCGATCTATTTGCCTTTTCTTGGGGTAGGGGCAAGGGCTTTGGTACCGCTATTCAGATCATCTTTTATTCTCTTCTCTTACCCTTTGCCTTTCAGAATTATTTAGTCAGTTTCTCTCATTCAGCTTTTCCTTCCCATTCGCATTGGTTCAGGCCTGTATTTTTTCACATGGTTTTTTTTGTAACCTCTCTAAACTTTGAACGGTCCTTCTCATATCTTTTCTTTTAAAACACCTCTTTAAGCTGGAATAATTTTTATTTATTACTAAGAAACTTAGACTTTTAAACATTGACATTCAATGCTTTATACCTCTGTATAGTCTATACGTCTATGATGTGGACCTTTGGACTTGGAGGGGACTTTTAAGGTTAGCTGGTTCAACTATCTTCCTTTTTTCACCTCCTAGATGTATTATTGCCTGAAACACTGATTTTTTGGCTAATGTCATATATTGCCTTCTTATACGGACATTTTCCAGAGCATCTTGCATTATCAGCTTCTTGAGAGAAGAATCTGTCTTAAACCTCTCTTCACTGACTGAATAATTTATTCAGTCATTCATTCAGCAAATATTTTTCAAGAGGCTTCTGTGTGCTGCACACTGTACAAGGTACTGGAAATGCAGTCAAACAGATGCGCCTCCTTTCCTCAAGTGGTTCTGAAGGAGGCAGGAAGCCACTCAGCTACTTCAGTCCATTTGTGATACAGGCTATTGCGGGACTTTGCACAGGATGCTGAGGAGGCTGCTAGATGGGACCTCTAAGAGTTGAAAATAGGGAGGCTCCTTAAAAAAGTACACCTGCCATTTGTGTTAATTCTCTCCTGTCTGCTATCCCCCTTCCTCAGCATTCTGCCAGTAGCTCCTAATACATTGCTAAGTAAATAATCAGCCTTAAATAAATATTTAAAAGTGTTTTTGTTGAATTATTTGACTATTTTAAGAAGAAATATCTTCTCCAATCTTTGGCTCTGGCTAAATGGAAATTTTGTAGTATCCATATATGTTAAGGGCTTTTCTCTCTCTCCTTTTCTGTTTTTGCACATACTATCTCCTGTGTCTGCAGTGCTCGTCCTTCCTTCTCTGCACATGGAAATTATGTCTAGAAGTCTCCCTGTTCCCTTCAGTTCTTACCTGACCTAGATGTAAGCAATGTCTCCTCTTGCTCATTTTTGTCGTTAACTAGGCAGTCAAGAAGGTTTTAGCTATAGTTGAAATTGACATAACCATGCTCTGTATCCAGAGCTTCCATTTCTAGTAAAGTGCTCTGGGTTACATATCAAGGTTCCAAAACTTCCTGCCACTCGTTGAGGTGACAGTTATGTTTCATTTGAAAATAAATGATTTTGTAGGGTTTACTTCTGTGTTCCGTGACGCCTGAATCTGTATTTTAGTTATTTGCTTCTGTCTTTATGACACAGTATGGAAGAGTATTTAATTATGTGGTTGAGTTTGTTATTGCTGCACTACGGGGCCTGTTAAGCATTTGTGCTTTGTGAGTCAGAAAGCACCGCGCTTTACCTGCTTTGCTGTAGTTGTGATTAGTGCTTATCTGTCTGAGAATGTATGGCCCTCTTTCATAAGATGGTACATTGGCCCTGATTAGCTTATGTTACCGAACACTTCAACGGTGCAAAAAAAGATCCAAATATTTTATTTCAGAATTTCCAAATCTGCTTGGAATTGGTTTTGGAAATAGAGTTTTATGTACTTTACTGGTCACAGTTAAGAGGAGTCAAGGAAGAACCATAAAATAGATGCTCTTGTAATTTTGTCATCATCTAATTTTACTGTCAAGTTTAAGTAATAAAATACTCTTCTGAGTTCTCTTTTAGGAAGAGAAATGGTTTAGATTTGGAAATCAGTAGTCAGTTTTGGCTGTGCCTCTGCCTGCTGTTTTCATGTTAATGAGGCCACTTTAGGGGCTCACTCATTTCTTGGATGAAATAATGGCCATATAAGAAGCTTCAAACATCTCAAAGAGTTTTGGACCTTTGCAACAATCTCATGAATATCTATATTCTCCCCTGGCCGGTTGGTTTCTGCAGGAAATGAACCACCTGTGTAGTTAGTTGCCAAGGCTTAGATCCACAGCAGGGCAAGCTCTGGGATGGTGTTCTAGCCACCAGTGCATACTATTTTCATTACTGTGAATTGGGAATAGAAAAACAACCCTATCTGGAGTTCAGAATGTGAGGTCTCATTATTTCGCACTTTTAGAGACTTGGGGATTTTTGAAGGTAAATCTCAGATGGCATAGAGAGATTTGCCTGTGGAGTTTTTCGCATGGGTTTACCAGGGTGAGATCTTCTCCCTCTTCCTTCAGGTGCCCCTCGACTCATTCCTCCCTGCCATGCATCTCTCTGAAACTCCTCTCATGACCTTTTATGCTTCTTTTACTGTTGCCTTTGCATGTGTATTTGCTTTACCATAATGTCTTCTTTTTCTTTACCAGTATGATGGAATTTTCATCCGTCCTTTAAAACCCAGCTTTCTCTTCCTGAACCCATACTAAGAGCATATCTTTTCTACCCCAATTCCTTGTTACTGCCATGTTCTGTTGGTACTATGTGCATACCTTCTGTTAATTAGCACAGGATACTCTGAGTTATACTTAGCTGTCTGTATATAAATCTCTACAACTAGTGAGGGAGCTCCTTATGAATATAGATCATGTAGTAGTTTTTCCATTGCTAATGTTTGTGTTAGATCCCTGCTGTGTGTTTATGGAATGAATGGAATTTATATAGGTTACATTTTTATATTAACTATAAGATCTATTTTTTATAAGCTATTGTTGTTTGCCATCAGCTTATATGTCTTGCAAAATCTTCAGTCATAGTCATTCTGCATTCAACTGAAGTTACCGGTTTTTTGTAAGTGAACTATTCTTGATTGAGACAGGATGTTTTCAGAATTGGTATATGACCTTTGAAGACCATTGAACATTTCAGTGCTCTTTTAGATATGCCACATTGCCTTCATTCAGGTGCCTGATTTTTACACTTTCAGATATCTGTCTCTTAGAAAATGTGAGTTTTGATTCAATAAGAGGGAAAGACACCTGTGAACCTGTAGTTGCTTTATGTAGAGCAAGATTATTATTCTAAATTTATGCCATCAATTAATGAGAAATATAGAAATTTCAACTTTATTAGCTAGATTAATCATTTCTAGACTGAATAATATTTATAAATTGTTTTTAAGAATTATTTGAGCTAAATGTCACTTTTGAAATAGAATCTATAAAATATTTATAGATTGTAATGTCCATTTCTGGGAACTCATTACCTACCAGATACAAATTCCTCGGTGATTGATCTCTATCTCTATATAAATCTGTCTCTTTGTCTGTTGACCCGTCAATCAATAATTGTATACCTAGTATATACCAATTACCAGGCACTTTAACAATTTATTGTTTAATCCTTTAACAGTGATTGTGCTAGAGATGATTATTGCTGTTGTATGGATGGGGAAGCTAGACACAGAATGATTATTTGCCAAAAATGTACTTACGTAGTAAGTGGTTAAACTGGGGATTAAACTGAGTTCTTTTTGGTTCCATAGATTATGTATTGATAATTTCTACTCCATCTGACTGCTTTGCACATTTACGTTTTTTTCTGTCTATTTGGTGTGTAGGTGCTAGATCTTTCTTGAGTATTATTGTTTGTCACATAAAATTCTAATGGAAGTGCCATGATAGTTGGTAGAGCTGTTTTCTCAATACTGAATAATGGACGTATGGTTATAAATTTCTTTATCATGACATTTTACACAGTCTTATGTCATAGTATCATTCAATAAGAATTCAATATTAAATTTACAGTTTTTAAAAACAAGGAGAAAGTGCTCTATAGTGTTTATAGATTATCATGTGCTTTTAAAGTTAAGATAATTTATAACTTTTAATTATAAACTCATTTACAATTTTTTAAATTTCTTTTATACAGGTACCAAGTACTTGCTTTTGCAACAGATGCAGATAAAAGGCAGGAGACTGACCAGCAAAAACTTGGTTCTGGAAAAAGACTAGTTGTAAGGCATTTTCTTAATATATAAAAATTTCAGTAATGCCATAAATAACCACATGTTTGTTATGAGTAAGAATTCCTGGGAAGAAAATGTAAAAAAAAAAAAAAAGGTGTCAGCCATTCTCTTTCCTATATTGTGATTACATTAATTATCTAAGAACTGAGTTGGTTGTTGTTGAGCAATGGAGACACATGTCATGGTCATAGCATAAGAGAGTGTAGAGTTGTAGGAACCCTGGGTATCCAGATGGAGTCGCTTTTGACAGAAGTGACTATAAACTAACAAAGAAAAACAGAAACAGTAAAAAAACTCTCCATCATAGGCAAAATTTGCTATTTTATTTGAAGTATCTTTTTTCTCTATCTGCTTTCCAGATTTTCTCTTATCACTTGTTTGGAGCAATGGGATTATATTTTGTACTTTTCTTTCTCTTTTTTGAACTTAAGATTTGTTAAGCTTCTTTCATCTGCAAATATTTAGTGTGCATAAAATTTAGAAATGTTTGGCCATTAATTCTTTATTTTGTTACTAATAGACATGCAACCAAATATATAAGTAAAATATAAAAATTCATAGCTCACAAAGGTAGAATTAGCTCAAAGACAAAGGTGAAGTTCGATAATTTGAAAAGTAGTTTAAAGAAAAATTGTAAATGATGAATTTTCCATTTATTATAAATTGGGGAATAGATGGTGATTATGAATTCTTCCTTACCTTGAGAACTTCCATAGAGAGCAAGTAAAAAAATAGAAGCAACCGAAATTATGGTGGAAACAGTGAAGTGAATTTGAGGATACACATGAAGGAAGCCAAATGGAGAAATAATGTGGAATTTAGAATACTAATGTAATACTATTAGAGAAGACTCTGCAGAATTATCTGTATTAGGATACAGAAGTTTAGGAGATGGTAGAATAGAAAGGTAACTTGGAAAGAGTCCAGAATCACATGAAGATATATTTTTTTAGTGGTGGCAAAAAGTAAAAGAGCACAATAAATAAAAATACGATGCAATTTGGCACAGAACTTAGAAGCGCCGTAGCAATAATAGTTTAAGGACAGATTGAAGTCAAATAGGTCTTGAGAGCTATACTTGTTTTTTTGAGCAAGTTACAGCAAGTTTCTTAGCCTTACTAAATCTGTTTCCTCATTTGCAAAATGATGATTATATCTATTTTAAAATGTTACTAGGCTGGGCTTGGTGGCTCATGCCTGTAATCCCAGCGCTTTGGCAGGCCGAGACAGGTGGATCACCTGAGATCAGGAGTTCGAGACCATCCTGGCCAATATGGAGAAATTCCGTCCCCACTAAAATATGGTGGCACTTGCCTGTAGTTCTAGCTATTGCGGAGGCTGAGGTAGGGGACTCACTTGAACTCTGGAGGCGGATGTTGCAGTGAGCCGAGATCACACCACTGAACTCCCTCTGGGGTGACAGAGCAAGAATCCATCTAAAAAAATTGTTATTAAATAAATTATATATTTTATATGTAAATATAACATATGTATTATATATAATACGTATATAAAGCAGATAGCAAAATGTCTGGTTGAACTTAATGAAAATGGTGATCACATTGCCCTTTGACCTCCTGAATAGTGGTATTCTTCCGTTTGTTTCTTACAGTCTGCACTTCAGCCATGTAGGGCCTCTCATTCTTCCACGTATTCCGTGGCTCGTCTTCATTCTAAGCATATGGCTTTTCTTCTGTCTGGAATAGCCTTTCATTATCATTTGCAGTTTTTATTGACTACTCCATGTCTCACCCCGAGGATGGATTCTGAAGGCGATTGCAGCTGAGCGGTTTTTCCATTCTCAATTAGTGACTAGAGTAAGAAATGGCAGTAAAACTTCAGTTTGTTACACGATTGTCACTTTGCAGGACTGTGATGCCATGGAGCCATATGAAATCTGCTGCAGGAGAAACAGCTGATCCAAAGGGTTGCTTATAAGAAGAGAGCTGTGCGAAGACATTTAACAGCTTCCTGTGTTACTCACAGCTACTGTTTTTTATTGATTGATTTTTATTTAAGTCTTCTGTGGTCAAAAAAATAATTTGCATGACTTAAATTATCTTACATTAATTGAGACTGATCTTATGGCCTAGAATATGATCTATCTTGGTAAATGTTCAGTGTGCACCTGAAAAGAATGTGTATTTTTTGCTGTTGTTAGATAGAGTGTTTCATACATGTCAATTCGGTTATGTTGGATGATAGTGTTGTTCAACTCTTCTGTATCCTTCTTAGTTCTTTTACTAGTTACTGTTAGTTATTGAGAATGGGATATTGAAATCTTTGACTACAATTGTGGACTTTTCTGTATCTCCTTGGAAATATATCTAGCTATACCTCTATATATCTATATCTATATTTATTTATTTTTGAGACAGAGCCTCGCTCTGTTGCCCAGGCTGGAGTGTAGTGGCATGATCTCAGCTCGCTGCAACCTTTGCCTCCCTGGTTCAAGTGATTCTCCTCCCTCAGCCTCCCAAGTAGCTGGGTCTCCAGGCACGTACCACCATGTGCAGCTAATTTTTTTGTATTTTTAGTAGAGATAGGGATTCACTATGTTGGCTAGACTGGTCTTGAACTCCTGACCTTAGGTGATCCACCTGCCTTAGCCTCCCAAAGTACTGGGATTACAGGCATGAACCACCGCACAAGCCTGTAACTGTATTTATTTATTTATTTTTTGCTTTAGATGTTTTGGAATTCTGTTATTAGGTACATAAATACTTAAGATTGTTCTGTGTCATGATGAACTTTACATTATGAAATGACCTTTATCCTTTTATTTGATAATCTTTTTTTCTGAAAGCTATTTAATCTGCCGGTAAAATACTCAGTTTTCTTTTGCTTAGTGTTATTCTGATACCTTTTTCTAACTTTTCACTTTGAACCTGCTTGTGCCTTTCCACTTCAAGTGTGTGATCTATAAGCAGCATCAAGTTGGTTGGGATTTGCTTTGAAAAATCAGTAAAATATACACTCTGCCATTTAATTTTGTTTAATTTATCTATATGTCTATCTAGGTTTTTTTGTTTTCTTTTTTTCCTCCTTCCTTTGGATTTATCCAGTATTTTTTGTAATTCTATTTTACCTTTGTTGGTTTAGCTATAACTCTTTGTTTTATTATTTTAGTGTTTACTTTAGGTTTTCAGTATTTATCTTTGGCTTAGCACAGCCTACTTTCAGGTGACATATCACCTTATGTACAATATAAGAGCTATGCTTCTGTTTCCCACCTTCCAGCCTTTGTGCTATTGTCATATATTTTATTTTTACATAGGCTGTGAACCCCATATGATATTATAATTATTTTTTCTTAAATAATTAATCATATTTTGATTATGAGAATCATATATATATACCCAGTAGGTCCCATTTCTGCTGTTCTTTAATTTATATAACTCCATATTTCCATCTGGTGTCATTTTCCTTCAAACTAAAGTAATTCCTTTAACGTTTCTTTTAGGGTGGGCCTGCTGGGGATGAATTTTTCATTTTTTCTGTGTATACTGTTCTTGAGGTTATCCCTGGGACACAGTTAAGTTACTTGGAAACAGTTTGCTTTTTGGGGCCTTCGTTCTCAGGACTTGTTAGGTGGGACCAGGGCAGTCCTCAATTTTGGGCTACTTATTCCCTACCCCTCAGGCAAGTTCCTTCTTACACTGTACCCAGTTTACCCAGAATTATGAGATTTTCTAGCCTGGCTGGTAGTCAGAGGAAGTACTTTATACACTGTGTGAATGCTGGGCACTGTTATCTCTTATCTTTTTGGGTGGTTCTTTCCCTGGCCTTGTGTAGTTTCCTTACAAGAATTTGCCAATACGTATTCAGCTGAATATTTGAGGGCACTCTGTAGATCTTCAGAGTTCTGTCTGTATGCAGCTTTCGTACGCAGCTATTTGGTATGTCGTCTTGTTAACTCTGACTGCTGCTGTGGTTTCTCTAGACTCTGAATATCCATCTCCACGATTCAGAGTCTGGTGGGCTCTGCCTGGGTTCTTCATCCCTGCGCTATGGCCTGGAAACTTTTTCAAGGCTGGAGCACTCAGCCTTGGTGAAAGCTTTACACCTTCCAAGGCTGGAGGTGTAAGGCCACTCACCTCATTTGTTTTCTGTCTTTAAGGGATTGCTGTGCTTTGTCGTCTGGTGTCCAGTGCCTTGCAAACTATTGATACTCATTAATTCAGACTTGTAGTGTATTTCCCTAAGTGGAGGTCACAGAGAGTGGAATTCAGTATCTGGCAATTGGAAATATTTAGTGGCTGGATCTCAGACTGTGGCCTCAGAAACAAAATTTGCCTGTTCACTTTGAATAAATCACCTCTCAGAGTAAGGCACACATGAGCCTGAGTTACAGACACTGACACCCAAAGGCGAATGCTGGCCTATTACAATGTAATAAGAAATATAACTGTCATGGGACTGACATTCATGTCTTGTCCAGTGGAATTTTTTATATAGGTAAGCTATGCTTGAACTAAATAGTAATCAAGTAATTTCTTAGTGTTGAATTCTAGTTCAGCTTAAGATAGTCTGATGCACCTACATATGTTCACTAGGTTGTTTCCCTCCTACAGATTGTTCTTATATGTATACTGGCAATATTTGCCTTTCTGGCCAGCCCCATTAGGATTTTATACCTTCTTCAAATATTTTAATATCTAAAGTAGATGAATACCTCAGATCCTGTCTTCATGGCCAAAAATTCATCTTGTCTTTAATGTGACTTTTCATGACCTTTTTTTGCATCCGTTGTGTTGATCAGAGCCTAACTTTGACAGCAGCCCTATTTCCTCTTGGGGAAGATTTTTCTTTGTGAAACCATCTCACTTTTACTTTCATATATAATATACACCTGTCAGAGACCCTGGCCTGGGGCGCTTAGCGAAGCCCTCCCATTGGGGCCAATTCATGGTTTGATTGCAACTCTGTGTCTTTCTCAGTTGAAGCCCCAGGAGACAAGACCCTTGGCCCCAACCACTGCTAAGGTCCCTTCCTCTGCTGCCTCCAAGCTGGGGAGGGAACATAAAGCCTGAGATCTCCCCAGAGAGGCAGAGTGGAGCCTAGGCATACCAAGCTGTGATCTTCAGCCACACAAGTGGGAGAAGAGCCCACACTTTCAGAGCATTGATAGGGAGCATGACAGCAACCATTGTGGTGAGCCAAGATTGCACCACCACATTCCAGCCTGGGCAACAGAGTGAGACTCCATCTTGAAAAAAAAAAAGAAAAAAAAGAGAAAATATAGAGGAGCCACATGAGTGAGCAAGAGCCTACCCACTGACCAATACACTTGTTAACATACCCCACTTTGAAACCAAAAGCAAGAATTTAGCTACAAATAAAGACCTTGCAGAAAGCTTCAGCCCTCTGAAAACATCCGGAAAAGAAATCTACTGACTGTACTCAATTCACACCTCAGGTAGAGGAGTACCCACATACACAGAGGATCAATTTACCCCTCAGGTAAAGGAGCACCCACATACACAGAGGAAAAAGAACCAATGCAAGAACTCTGACAACTCAGAAGACCACAGTGTCTTTCTTCCTCTAAATGATCACACTAGTTCTACAGCAAGGGTTGTTAACTGGACTGAGATGGCTAAGATGACAGAAACAGAATTCGGAATATGGATAGGAAAGAAAGACCATTGAGATTCAGGGGAATGTCAAAATTTAATCCAAGAAATGCAAGAATCAGTAAAACAATACAAGAACTCACAGACAAAATAGTATAGAAAAGAACTTAACTGGATTTGATAAAGCTGTAAAACACACTACAGTAATTCGTAATGCAATCAGAAGTATTAATGGCAGAAGAGACCAAGCCGTGGAGAGACTCTCTTTCTTAATCTTTGTTTCTGGAAAGAGCTTGAAGACTGGCTTTCTGAAATAAGACAGTCAGACAAAAATAAAAGAGAAGAAGAAATGAACAAAAATAAATTTGGCATTATGCAAAGAGACCAACTTTGTAACTCATTGGCATCCCCGAAAGAGATGGGGAGAAAGCAAGGAAGCTGGAAAACCTCTTTCAGGATGTCTTCCATGAAAAATTCTTCAACCTCATTAAAGAGGCTGATATTAAATTTCAGGAAATGCAGAGAACCCCCGCAGGATACTGTGCAAAATGATCATCCCCAAGACACAAAAGCATCAGATCCTCTAAGGTCAAAATGAAAGAAAAAATGCTACAGGCAACTAGAGAGAAAGGTCAGGTTACCTCCACAGGGAGCCCCATCAGTCTAACAGTGGACGTTTCAGCAGAAACCCTACAAGCCAGAAGAGATTGGAGGTCTGTATTCAATATTCATGAAGAAAAAAAATCATCAACCAAGAATGTCATGTCCAGCCAACCTAAGCTTCATATGTGAAGGAGAAATAAGGACCTTTTCAGACAAGCAAATGGGAAGGGAAATTGTTACCACCAGACATGCCTTAGTAGAGCTCCTGAAAGAAGCACTAAATATGGAAAATAAAGACTGTTATTAACCAATACAGAAAACACTGAAGTACACAGACTAATGACAGTATAAAGCAGACACACAAATAAGTCTGCATATTAACCAGCTAACAACATAATGACAGGATCAAATCTACACATATCAATACTACTCTCGAATGTAAACAGGCTAAATGTCCCAACTAAAAGACACAGAGTGGCAAGCTGGATCAAAAAGCAAGACACAGTGGTATGCTGTCTTCAAGAGATCCATCTCACATGCTTTATTTGCACCTGTAAACTGAAAATAAAGAGATAGAGAAAACTCTATTAAGCAAATAGAGAAAAGCAGGAATTTCAAGCCTAATTTCTGGCAAAATGGAGTTTAAACCAACAAAGACAAATAAGGGCATTGCATAATAGGAAAGAGTTTGATTTAACGAAGATCCAACTGTCCTAAATATAATGCACCCAACATAGAAGCACCCAGATTCATAAAGCAATTTCTTAGAGACCTACTAAGAGATTTAGACTGCCACACAATAATAGTGGGAGATTTCAACACCCTACTGACAGTAGGAGACAGATCATTGTGGCAGAAAAGTAACAAAGATATTCAAGGTCTGAATTTAATACTTGACTAAATGGATCTAATAGACATGTATAAAACTCTCCATCCCAAAACAACTGAATATTTATTCTTCTCATCACCACATGGCACATACTCTAAAATCAACCACACAATTGGACATAAAACAATCCTCAGCAAATTAAAAAAATATCGAAATACCCATCAATAGTAGACTGGATAAAGGAAATGTGTTACATATACATCATGAAATGCTATGCAGCCATAAAAAGAATGAGATGTCCTTTGCAGGAACGTGGGTGGAGCTGCAGGCTATTATCTTTAGCAAGCTAATGCAGGAACAGAAAACCAAATATCACATGTTCTCACTTACAAATGGAATCTGAATAATCAGAACATAGGGACATAAAGAAGGGAATGACAGACACTGAGGCCTGCTTGAAGGTGAAAGGTGGGAGGAGGGAGAGGATCAGAAAAAATAGCTGTTGCACACTACGCTTAGTACCTGGATGATAAAATAATCTGTACACCAAACCTCTGTGAAATGAATTTACCTATATAACACACCTTCCTATGTATCTCTGAACCTAAAGTAAAAGTTAGAAAAACTGAAAAAAAAAGTGCTCGCTTCGGCAGCGTGTATACTAAAATTGGAATGATGCAGAGAAGATTAGTGTGGCCCCAGTGCAAGGATAACATGCAAATTCGTGAAGTGTTCTGTATTTTTTTTAAAAAAGAAAAACTTAAAAAATATATACCTGTCTGCCAGTATTTTTCAAAACGGTATATTTTTGCTGTTTTGCATTTTCCTGACTGACTTGGAAATATTAATTGTGTGGGAGATGAATCCTGAAAAGCTCTTATTTTATACATCATTTTACATTCATTCTTTCATTGCTTTAAGAAGCATTTATTGAAAATTAACTGTATCCCAGCAATATGAAGATACTTTGGAGCAGCTCTTACGTATATTCTGCTCTGCTCTCTAGTGGCTTCGTGGCTACTCTGTATATGCATATTGATATGTTTTTAGTTGTCATATAAAAACACATGTACAATAATAATGACTATAGTTTCTATAGATTATTAAATTTGATTTGCAAATTAAGCACAATATTTTCATGGAAGCAGATAAGTTGTTTAGTGTTTTGAACTGCAGAATAGCTAATATCACCTGGTAAGACATGGAACAAAACTGATTAGCATCTTGTAAAATGTCGGAAAAATGGTCATAGTGAGAAAAAAATGCATAAAGAAACGAAAGAGATTAGCCCATCTTTATATTTCTGCTTTGTTGTAAAGCAGTTTATTAACTTAGGTTGATATGAAAATAACTGATATGTTCTCATTTTAGCAACTAAATTGATCTTGAGTTTTGCTTTGTAGGTGGATTGGACTCTAAATATTGGAGAGCAAGCCCTTGATATATGTATTGTCTCTTTCAATCAGTCAGCATCCTCTGTTTTTGTTCTTGGTGAGAGAAACTTTTTTTGCCTTAAGGATAATGGACAAATTCGATTCATGAAGAAACTTGATTGGAGCCCAAGTTGTTTTCTGCCATATTGCTCAGGTGTGTAGAAAGAGTTTCTTTCATCTCTTCCATATGAAAAGGTTACGTGATATACACCAGAAAAAGCCACACTCATACACATATTTTAAACATATTTGAAAAGTTTAATACTGAGTATGTAATGGAAATTTTAACTTTCAGAGTTTGAATAGAAGTTTGATATAAAGCACACATTTGGTTTTGTCAGTCATTTTACTTTGTACAAAATGACTTGTAAAATTGGCCTCTGGCATACATTAATACTTTCCATAATGTGGCTGTTCAAGATGCATTCAAGAGAACACCAGACTCTTTTTTAAGCACAGTTGTAATGTCTAATACAATGAATTATCTGTAGTGAATGCCTAGTAAATCATTAGCTTAAATGTGTTACATATTAATGAAATTCATGCTATCTAGATGAAATGCAAAAATGTTGGCAATTATCTAGTTATAGCATCCAAGACTGTAAAATGATTCCTTTCTTTTTTATACTGGTAGATTAAAGTTACAAAAAAAGTTTTATTACTTAAAATCTTTATGTATTAAAATCAGGATGTTAGAATTAGTTTGTGTTATAAATTTCCTAACAGAGACATGCTCTTTCAAATGACTGTTTTCTTAGTGTCTCTTTTCTGTATCTTCAACCTACAGTCTCTGAAGGGACAATAAATACTTTGATTGGAAACCATAATAGCATATTGCATATTTATCAAGATGTGACACTGAAGTGGGCCACCCAACTTCCCCACATTCCTGTAGCAGTAAGAGTGGGCTGTTTGCAGTAAGTGATTTAATTTAACATTATTTTTAAAGAGGATGTTAGTCAAGACATTTTCTAGAAGTTCTATGAAATAGCGGCAAGTGATTTTATTAAAAAATTGCAAGTGACATTGCAGTGTGAACGTCAATAATAAGTAACTTAAAATATAACTTTTATTGAAAAGGAAGGATAATTAGTGATATTATTCATTTTCATTTAATATTTCTAACAAGATATCCTTAGTAAATTAAGGGTGAAAGCTGATGAAGATATCAAGAAAATGATTTACTTGATAGATTATTCTTTAGAATACAAAAAGATTTCTTTAACATTTGATGAGTCCCATTTAGAGATCGTTTATTGATAGACTGTGACAATATTACACTGTTAATCATCATAAGATCTCACCTTGTTTCAGACCTTCTTATGTCCCGTGATGCAGAATTGCTAATGATCATGTGTTTACACAGTTTAGATTTTATGTGGGGGCTACTTTACATTTAAAATGAAAAACAATTCATACTTTAACATTAAATTTACAAAATTTATCAAAAATGACAGAAATGAACCATCTAAGTGAGTAATTTTTCTAGGTCATCAGTATAAAAGGTGAGATGCTGACTAACTTTTTAGCATCTCAGATTATGTTTAGGAATTGAAAATATCAGCAAACATATAAAGCTTCATAGATTCTCAGATGTATTCAGTTCTACTTATTTAGAATATTTTATCGAGCATTTAAAGGCATATTCAGAATTCTTCAGTGACACCTATAGTATCTGATCAGGATGGGGTTGTCCTCTCCTATTAAGGGGTTAAGTATAATATTATTGTTGAAGATCAATGAAGGGTATTCATATTTGCATCAATGTTTAATCTAAAGCCTGAACTTGGAAGATGGAAACAGTGTTTTGAATACATTGAATATTTTAAAAAGATGTTGCTTTCTTATGTTTTATGAGAAAAAAATCATATAATTTAATTGTTGTGCACATAACACAAGTTATAGTTATTTTGTATCTGGAAAACAATTTAAAAATTTTGAGATTGAGTTTTGCAATGTCCGTCACATGGTCTTTTTAAGCTTCACAGAATATTCATGCCCACCAGACATTTTGTATCAGATTTACCTATAAGGATTTAGAACAGGAAAAACATGTTGCCAGCAGGTCAACGTCAAATATTTCTTTTATGGAAGAGTAATTCTTGAAGGAGTCTATATATTCATCCAAGAACTGTTTTCTTTGGCCCCCTGAGTGACAATTCAGTTGCTAAAAGACAGATCCACACTGGTAGTGATGAGGCTCATTTTGACCTGTAATCTTCATGCCCTTCAGGAGCCAATATCTTTAAATACTTAAACATTATTGGGATTTTGGTGTGCATTTTGAGCACAGGAGAATGATGGGTAGAAAGATTTTATTGAGAACATTTAGTTGAAATATATATATATTTTACACATACATTATGTACAAGGGATGTCACCATTTCAAGAGTCACCCATACTCAGGGAAGTTAAGGGTCAATAATAACTGAAACATTATTATGAGTAAAACACCAAATTTTCATATAGTGTGCATCGTGATGCTTATGTTCAAAAGCAGCCTATCATCTTATTCTAGGTACTTGTGAGTGAATCTTCCTATTTCTCATGGGTTTTGCAAGATGATAGTTATAAACAATTAAACCCAAATATTGCCATTAGTATTTTCCACAATCAATATATAACAATAAATTCTAATTGTTCAACTGAAGATTTTTCTTATTCTTTTTTTTTTTTGAGAGTGCTTATAAACATACAGTTTATTTGAGGATAATGACACAATACAGCAGGAAAGCAAGAATATGCATCTGATACAGTTTGGCTCTGTCCCTACCCAAATCTCATCTTTAATTCCCACACGTTGTAGGAGGGACCCAGGGGGAGGTAACTGGATCATGGGGTCAGGTCTTTCCCATGGCGCTCTCATGGTTGTGGGTGGGTCTCACAAGATTTGTGGTATTACAAGGGGGAGTTTCCCTGCACAAGCTCTTCTTCTTTGCCTGCTATCACCCATGTAAGGTGTGACGTGCTCCTCCTTGTTTTCTGCCATGAATGTGAGGCTTCCCCAGACACATGAACTGTAAATCCATATTAAACCTCTTTCATTAATTTTTTGGGTTTTGTTTTTTGCTTTTGAGATGGAGTCTTGCTCTGTCACTCAGGCTGGAGTGCAGTGGTGCAATCTTGCTCACTGCAACATCCACCTCCTGGGTTCAGGCGATTCTCCTGCCTCAGCCTCCTGAATAGCTGGGACTACAGGTGTGCACCACTATGCTAGGCTAAATTTTTTTGTATCTTTTTCTTTTCTTTTCTATTTTTATTTTTTGTATCTTTAATAGAGACAGGGTTTCAGCATGTTAGCCGGAATGGTCTCAATCTCCTGACCTTGTGATCTGCCTGCCTCGGCTTCCCAAAGTGCTGGGATTACAGGCATGAGCCACTGTGCCCAGCAAACCTCTTTCTTTTGTACATTGCTCAGTCTCAAGTATGTATTTATCATTAGCATGAAAACAGATTAATACAGTAAATTGTTTTCGTCGTTGTTGAAAAGATACCTGAAAATGTGGAAGCAACGTTGGAACTGGGTAACAGGCAGAGGTTGGACCAGTTTGGAGGCCTCAATTTTTCTTATTCTTAAACATAATTTAACACATAAGATAGCATTAGACTGTGTTTTCATTGTAATTTCTACTAGGGTTTTTTTTTTTTCTTCTGCAATAACCTTTAATTAATACATGCAAAGGAAACACTTTAAAACACTAGACTCAATTAACATAAAATTTAGGAAGGTTTTCTGCTCTCTCTACAATTGTAAGCTGTATGCTACAGCTATTTAAATACATTTTATAATAATCACATCTTAAATCTTATTACTTATCCAGACTGAAGCAGTAAATGGACAATTTCAAAAATGACTGTAAGTACAGAACACCACAACTATATTTTAATCACATGTAAAAAAGGCCATGGACTATGGGAAAGCACTCAGCTCTTAGCTCGCACTGTGGTCTAGGTTATTAACCACAAAAGATAAGGGAGCTTCCAGTTTTGCTCTTTTGCTCTCAGATCATTTACATGCGGGACGTTGAAACAGTAGCTGGTGTTACAGATACCCTACACAACGCAAAGCTAGTGAACACCAGTATTTAGTCATCTGGTAAAAAAAGAAAAAATAAAAAAAACCAGCACAAACTGGCAAAAGCAACTGCGGCCAACTTCAGGCTAATGCCACGTCTTTTCTCAAGGCTCTGTCCTGGATAGCATGTGAAATAAAAGCCCTGGTTTGGTCCTGATCAACAGCACCTTCCTATAGGAAGATACTTCCTTGCCACGGGAGTGCTGGTGGGCTTCTCACCTTTGCAGGCAGTCCGTAAGGTGTGGTGCTCCCCGACATGTGGCTTTCCCCATTCACCATACTGCCTTCACTTCCTGACTTCACGGGCCACAAGATGGCAGAAGAGCCAGGCAGATCTAAGCCAATGTCCCCGAAGGGGTCTGTTGTGGTGGAAACTCCATGGCAGACTTGGCAGGTGATGTTCAGCTGCAGCCCACCTGCGAAGATCCATTCTGTGCTGTAGTTGCAGCAGTTGGGGTGTTGTCCTTCTTCCCATTGTCATCACCTGGGACAGACTGTGGCTCTGAGATTGTGTCTGTGAGCCACAGAGGTAGCAAATCTCCAAGGGCTGAGTATGTTTATCCTGCAGAGGCCCGAGGGAGCCGGTGCTGACACTTTAGAAGGCCAGGTGAGTATGTGAGGGTCTCATTGTTACTTTAATGTGATGAGAAATCACAGCACTTGGGTTTTCAGTGCTCCTCTTTTTCCCATTTCTTAACCATTCTTACAGCCCCACATTTTTGATCTTGCCAACAAACACATCCAGTGCCCAATGGCTGCGTAGGTAATTGGTTCCCCTTTTTATATGAGGAACAATTGGACAAATATTTTTCTGGAGACAGCTGAACATATCGTGGGCCAGATACTATAAGCCTTGACAGGTTCTTTCTGCCTGTTGCGTAAACCAAATCAATTCACGGTATTTCAGTAGAGAAAGAGTTTAACTGATGCAAGGCCAGCCACACCACACCGAAGATGGACTTATTACCTAAATCATTCTCCTTGAAGGTTCACAGATTAGGGGTTTTTCAAAAGTTGTTTGAGGGAAGAGTTAAGGGTGGCAAGGCAATGGGTGCTTGCTGGTGACTGTTTGGAAGGTGCAATCATAGGGGAGTGGGAAATTACCCTCTTGCGTGCTGAATCTCTTCTGGGTGGGACCACGGGAGCAGTTGGTGGGTCCAGGTGGAACCATCATTAGTTTCAGACATGCAGAAAACCTGTAAAGGTGTCTTACAAGGCCACTGTTAGGTTCTACAATAGTGATTCTATCTGCAGGACTATTGGGGGACGTTGCCCATCTTGTGACCTCTGGAATAATGGCTGGCAATTGTTAATGTCTGCAACTTAGCAAAATGTAGGCTTCTCTATCCTCCTAGCCTGGTGGTCTCTCATTAGCTCTATAAAGACAGTTGAGTTTTGGGGAAGGACTATTTTTACTTAAACTATAAACTAAATGTTTCCCAAAGGTAGCCTAGTCTAAGCCTGGGAATAATTAAGGGAGCTTGAAGGTTAGAGGCTACAGGGGTGCAGGCTAGGTCATGTCTCTCCTAGTGCCATAATTTTCTCACTTTGATAATTTTTGCAAAGGCTGTTTCACTTGCGCTCTTTGAGTATCAGCACGTGTCAATCATGAGGTGTAAGTTATGAGATGGGAAAAGGGTGAGGACTGCTCTAACTTCTTCCTAATGTCATAGTTGGGGTGTGGGTTGCCCCTAGGGTAAGAGCAGTGGAACTGCTTTGCAGCTGTCTGCGTGTACTCACAGGTGCCTGGTTGGGGTTCCAAGGCTTACATGACAAAGATGCTAACATTCTCACCTACAGTTTTAGCATAGCACATAAGTGAACTGCAGACTATAGGATTCT